ACTAATAACCAAGATTCAGTTCCACAGCACGTCTCCTATTGTGTTAATGTGTCCTCATTTCGAAGACTAATGTTTAATACATTTCTTACAGATTGAGTCAATCAATAAATAAATGGACTGTCAGTGATCCATTTTGTTCATAACTGCTAATCTTGTTGTTTTCTGTTCTAAAGCCTTTTATGTCAAAAGAATAGTTAGGAGAAATTAAGATAACAACCTATTATAAAAAAATTACAATACAGCTCTGAAAACACAATCCAAACATTCAACAAAAAAGGGTAATTATTTCTGTAAAACACTCATATAAAATCAAGTTAATACTAATGCTCAGCACATGTGTACAACAGCTACATCATCATCAAAAATCTGACGCCTCCATTGGTCTGTTGACTCTGCTCACTTGACCTACCAGCATACAGTGTGTGATCTGAGAAATGCACTGTCAGCACCACTCTGCATGAACATTTAGCCATCTAAATGAGTGAGAGGCAAATGGAACGGCCTTCAATTGAGTCTTGAGTCATCTTACCCCAAGCCCCAAACGGCTGAAAAGCCTCAATTAGTCATATTGACCAGGGTCACTCCTGATATGAAAGCAGTTTGGGCCGAATGTGAGCCTGTTATTGTTATTTAAATTGGTTACCTGCCAACCCTACCGATTTGAGCGGTAGTCTACCGCTTTTGACATGTTTCTACCGCCTACCGATTTAGCTGGCTTTCCCTACCGATTTTCAATCCTCCCAAACTATAACAAATAAAAATGACACTACATACACACTGGACTCGACTTTTGGCGGACACCTTTTGCAGCGTGTCTGTGATCGCATCATACAAACAGTCGTGTTTCTGAAAGAGAAACAACGTGCAGACTGGGGGTAACGCTGCGGGAAAGGCAGCGTTACCGCCGACGAGGCATTTGAGTCCTGCAGGATTTCCCCGTTAATATCAGTGTCTCAAAAACACATGTTGGCGACTGAAAGACATCCAGTGTTTGGTCTTTTCCGGAAGCATCCTTCACCTACAGTGTCTCAATTGAAAGAGGACCACAAACAACATATAATACAATTTTGAGATTTGGGGATATTTATCTCCCATTCTTTCACTTTTTCTGACATTTTCAACACCAAAAATGTCGTTAATGTCTCTGTTTAGTGAACTACAGCAATCTAAAAGCCTGTACATATCACACTTTATCAGTAGACAAATGCAGGAAATGACTTTTTTAATGTAGTATTTTCTGATTTCTGGCGCAACACAAAGATATTTCGCTCTGTGCAAACCTTTGACTCTAATATGTCAACAACATGAAACAAGAATATGAACCTGGCTTTATCCAATGTTCACATAAGAGTTCTACATCCTGACACATCCTTCATCTACACTGTCTCAACTGAAAGAGGACCAGAAACACATAAAAAATATAATAAAATGTGGAGACTTTGGGGTATTTATCTCCCATTCTTTTACTTTTCGGGCATTTTACAGACCAGACATGTCGTTGATGTCACTATTTACCAAACTACCACTTTTTCTGAAAAATGCATAAAATGATGCAATATATGTTTAAATACATGGTTTATACATGTAATTACTGGGGTTCCATTTCTTCTGATTACCTAATTTGGGTGTGCACATTTGCCGCGCGCAAACCTACCTCTTTTGGATTTGGAAAGGTTGGCATGTATGCACTTGTATAACAGTTAGTATTATATTTTGGTTCACACTGGAAATATTTTATATTTAATTTTTCACTATTTATAATTTTAGACATTTTTTACATTTGGATCTATTTTCTATTATCCACTCCTGGTTTTTACTCAACTAAATATAATGTAGATAACCCAATTTGTGTTATTTGAGACTGAAGGGGATGTTGCATTGTTTTTGTGGCTTTCGTTGCAGTTTTATATATCTTATAATGTAATTTAGGTGAACTTCCTGTTTCATTTGTATGCTCTTATTGTGAAGGCAAGTTCACGCGGCTGACAGGAAGTTGGTTGATGGCATTAGAAACAACGTGGGACAGAGAAAGCGTATATATCTTATAATGTAACGGCGGGAGAAAGGAGAAGAACGGGACTGTATATTTAAATGTTCAGCCCCCCCCCCGAAGCAGGTAAGCTCTTTACGTTGGCGTCTGGATTTACAAATAAATTATAATTCATCAGTTAACAGTAAAGCCTACCGAGAGGCTGCAGTTGTACATTTCCGCTTGACCATATCAAGTATAATTATGTGAATGGGTAAACTGGAATTTAAGGGCGGACAAAGGGTGATCACATAGAATCAGTGTGGCACAAAAGAATGAGGTCCCCCTTTGGAGCTCTGTGGTTTCTTAATTAAGACACCGCAGGCGTGATCATCTGTGACAAAAGGCCTGCCTACACCCACTATAGTGCCATCCAGAAGATGTTTTCCAAAAGTAACAGCTTACTGGTTAAGCGCGGCCACTCTTACAGACAAAGTCTCTGCTTGGTGGGCAGTTTTCTCAGCAGTTTTCGACAATGCACAGGTACAGGCTGCCGGCGAGACGATAAAAAGTTGAACTAGGAAGTATGTGGATTTTTGTCTAATATAACATAATATAACAAAATTCACACAAATATAGATGCAAAGGGCCTGTTAAATTCCCAGAGTTTAAGCGTCATTTCTTCAATTCCTGAGTTTCTGCAATCAACAAAAAAAGTATTTCTGTTGATTAATTAGGCAAAGGAAAACGAAGCTCCGTTGTCTGGTGTCCACTCACTCGATTAATGGACTTATTATGCAGGCACCTTATGTTTTAACATGTGTCAAAGCCAATCAAAGCATTTTTTATACATGTATAACA